CAGGACTACAGCTGAGACCAAGGTCCAGAACAGAGACCAGGACTACAGCTGAGACCAAGGTCCAGACTAGAGACCAAGACTACAGCTGAGACCAAGGTCCAGAACAGAGACCAGGACTACAGCTGAGACCAAGGTCCAGAACAGAGACCAGGACTACAGCTGGAACCCATGGAGAACTAAGATCAAGGTCCAGAATAGAGTCCAGGACTACAGCTGAGACCAAGGTTCAGAACAGAGACCAGGACTACAGCTGAGACCCATGGAGAACTAAGACCAAGGTCCAGAACAGAAACCAGGACTACTGCTAAGACCAAGGTCCAGAACAGAGACCAGGACTACTGCTAAGACCAAGGTCCAGAACAGAGACCAGGACTACAGCTGAGACCAAGGTCAAGAACAGAGACCAGGACTACAGCTGGAACCCATGGAGAACTAAGACCAAGGTCCAGAACAGAGACCAGGACCAGGAGCATAGATCCACGCAACAAAAATCCACCCAAGGAGATACCTAGATAGGTACCTAGAAGAAGGGTCTAGGTGTGATGCAGGACCCATGGGACCTGCTAGAGACTACAACCTGCTAGAAACTAGGACCTGGATCTGGTCCAGGACCTATGGAACCTGCTAAAGACTGGCACATTGGTGTGGTCCAGGACCTACATGTATGGGACCTGCTTGAGATTAGGACCTGGGTCTGGTCCAGGACCTATGGAACCTGCTAGAGACTGGCACATTGGTCCGGTCCAGGACCTATTGGACCTGCTTGAGATCAGGACCTTGGTCTGGTCCAGGACCTATTGACCCTGTTAAAGACTAGGACCTGCGTCTGGTCCAGGACCTATGGAACCTGCTAAAGACTAGGATCTGGGTCTGGTCCAGGACCACGGGACCTGCTAGAGATTAGGACCTTGTTCTGGTCCAGGACCTACGGACCCTGTTAAAGACTAGGACCTGGGTCTGGTCCAGGACCTATGGAACCTGCTAAAGACTAGGACCTGGGTCTGGTCCAGGACCTGTGGAACCTGCTAAATACTAGGAACTGGATCTGGACCAGGACCTATGGGATCTGCAAGAGATTAGTACATGGGTCTGGTCTAGGACCTATGGGACCTGCT